ATCTATCTATCTATCTATCTATCTATCTATCTATCTATCTATCTATCCATCCATCCATCCATCCATCCATCCGTCTATTTTTATTTATATTGTAGCCAGGAGTGGGATTTGGAGGGTTCTCCAAAAGGCCCAGAATCTTAGCTGGGGGCTCTCCCGAACCGCTGCGAACCCCCAGCAGCGAACCCCAGTATCCCGCCAACTCATAAATCATGGCTTATTGTGATGCTCCAGACTGGATTGGCAAGGGCCGGCAGGAAGGATGCCCCATCTGACTTGGCCGCACCCCCCCTGCTGCGCCCATCTGCAGGAGACCAGCCAGAGAGGCTTTGTGTCTTTTGGTCTCTTGTCTGCCCTGTGAGAATCCAGTCGCGGGGCTGCAGGCATCCCATAATATTATTTCGTCGCCAGATGACCTCTGCTCCCTTGGGTTTTGCCATCGTATGTCCAGCTCATTAGATAACAGGCACATAATGTCCCTTGGCAGGTTGATCTGAACAGGACGGGTGGGAGAATGTCTCTTGTTAAGTTAAGCATTAGACGGCTCCAGCCCTTCTTCCCACCACCGTCCTGCCAGTCCTTGGGTTTATTTTCTTGTCTTTTTTATTTTTTAAAAAAAAGTTTTCATTCAGTTCCGCCGTGAGCTGGGCTGCCTATCTCACAACAGGGACGCTGGGTAGCAAGCCGAAGATTCAAATTGAAAGGAGGCAGCAAGACAAGCAGTAAAATAAAAATAAAAACAACTGGAAACCCTAAGGAGAAAAAAATAGAAACTGTTCTAGTTTATAGTTCCAGAAGAAGAAAACTGAGACAAAAAAAAGAGGGGGAGGAGGAGGAAGAAGCATAATTGGTCATAAGTCAAGGACTACCTATAAACCAGCGTTGAACAAAAGTAAGGCTTATTGTGAATCCACTCAGTAAGTCTTTGCTGCTTGTTGTGGACCAGGAACATAAATAAATAAATCACTTTTTTACTTAATACCTTTGTTGTAAGATCCGATCAGTAGCGAGCTAGTTGGAGGTTGTTCCTGTACCGCCACCTGCTGACCATTCTCAGAAGCATTGAATTCACTCGAGCTGCCTTGTGCGCATGCCCGGAGCAAGTGTTCTCCAAAGGACCTGTGCAAAGAGGAAGAGGGAGATATAGATGCCTATTGCTGGTTCTCATTTGAACCTCTTTAAGGCTTCCAAAGAACATACGTTGATTGAAGGGGGACTAAATCAGGAGACAGAAAGATACTGAATGGATTGGAATAGAGTAACAGAGTTGGAAGGGACCTTAGAGGTCTTTTAGTCCAACCCCAGGTAGGAAACCCAACACCACTCCAGACACATGGTTGTTAAATAGTTAGAAGTTATAATTCTTTATTGGCCAAGTGTGATTGGACACATTCCTCTTCTTAAACTTCCAGTGTTGGAGCATTTACAACTTCTGGAGGCAACTCGTTCCACGGATTAACTGTTCTGTCAGGAAATTTCTCCTTAGTTCTAAGTTGCTTCTCTCCTTGGTTAGTTTTACCCATTGCCTTCGGGTACTTTGGAGAATAGCTTGATTCTTTGTGGCAACACTAATTTTTATCTTTCTAATCTGCAGAAAACGATTGAAATCCTATGCATCGAGAGAGAGAAAGAGAGAGAAGAGATAAAGACCCCTCAAACTTTTTTTTAATCCCCGCATGAAGAACCGGAAGTACCTATACAAAGCTTCTTATCTTTCTCTTCCTCTTTGGAGATACAGCACCCGGATGCCTTGAATAGTTACGCAGAGGCGTTTCGCCGAACGCGCAGGCGCAGAGGGGGCCTGGAGGGGGTCACATGATCTCGCGGCGCGGGCAAAATGGCGGCGCCCAGGCGGATGCGTGTTTAGCGGGCTCGGCTTTCCCCTCAAGCGGCTGCCTCCGACGCCAGCATGTCGCGGCTGATTGTGAAGAATCTGCCCAACGGGGTGAGGAAGGCGGGACGAGGGGGTTGCGGTGGACGTAGAAATCGTGGCTTCTCTTCTTTGCTTCCTGTTACAGCTGGAGAACCAGTAGCTTGGATGGCTGCAGGTCCATGGACGGGAATAGTCAGCTGGGTGCAGGAGTTGAGGTGTCAGGCTAGAAACATGGAGACTGGGAGTTCTAGTCCTGCCTTAGTTGTGAAAGACAGCTGGGTGACTTTGAGCAGTTGCTAGGAATCTGGGAGTTCTAGTCCCACCTTAGGTATGAAAGCTGACTTGGTGACTTTGGATCAATTGGTAGGAGACTGGGAGTTCTAGTCCTGCCTTTGGTGTGAAAGCCAACTGGATGCCTTTGGTCCAGTCGCTAGGAGACTGGGAGTTCTAGTCCAATCTGGACATGAAAGCAGGCTGGGTGACTTTGGTCCAATCACTAGGAGACTGGGAGTTCTAGTCCAATCTGGACATGAAACAGGCTGGGTGACTTTGGTCCAATCACTAGGAGACTGGGAGTTATAGTCCAGTCTGGACACGAAAGCAGGCTGGGTGACTTTGGTCCAGTCCCTCTCTCTCAGCCCTAGGAAGGCAGCAATGTCATACCAATGCAACCTTGCCAAGATATGTGCAGGGACTTGTCCAGGCAGCCTCTAAGAATCAGACACGTTTGAACGTGAAGAAAAATCAAAACAAAAAAAGAGAATAATACAAAAAAAGTTGAGAGCCTGTTAGGTCTGATAGTTAAAGCACCAGACTAGAAACTGGGAGACTGAGAGTTCTAGTTCCACCCTGGGGGCAAAGCCAGTTGGGTGACTTTGGGCCAGTCCTTCTCTGTCAGTCCTGGGATGGAGGCAATGATAAACCACTTCTGAAAAGCCTTGTCAAGAAAACTGCAGAAACTTTCCAGCCAGTTCCTGAGAATCAGGCACCATTGAACCAAACCAAAACAAAGACCAGTTGACCAAAATGCTTCATCCAGAAGATGACCGAGGATGTGACCTTGTAAGGCGATTCACACCAGCCTTCTTAGCTCTGCTTGGATGACTTGACCGTGATTGCTTTTCCTACAGATCAAGGAAGAACGCTTTCGCAACCTCTTTGCTGCCTTTGGGACGCTGACGGATTGCTGCTTGAAATTTACCAAGGATGGCAAATTCCGCAAATTTGGGTTTATTGGCTTTCAGTCAGAAGAAGACGCCAAAACCGCCCAGTCTCATTTCAACAAAAGCTTCATAGACACATCCAGAGTCACAGTGAGTTACATCTGTGCCTTTACATTTGTTTAGTCTCTAACCTTGAAGCATGGGGTGGGGTGTCCTTTGAAATAGAACAAGCAATTCTGGACATTTTCAGGCTGTTGGAAGTTTTCTGGGAGTTTAAGTGCAAAATAGGTTTTTGCTAACCCTTCCCAAGGTGCAGGCACATTGTTAATCCTTAGTCTGTTCTTCAGAAACTACAGTGATTGAATGAAGACACCGTAGAGTATCTTGATCTTCCGTATAAATTCACTTTCATTAAACAAGAGAGAGGTTTGGGTGGGCTTATTGTTTTTCTTTGAAAATATTTCGCTTCTTATCCAAAAAAGCTTCTTCATTTTTAACTGAAGAATAATTAGAACTGAAGAAACTTCTTGGATGAGAAGTGAAATATTTTCAGGGGGAACAAAAGCCCCGAGAAAGTTCAATTGTCTTTTGAACAGTACCTTTTCACGATCATGATCTGGATGACTGAGAATTTCCATAGACAATAAGCTTATTAATATCTCTTTTTTTCAAGGTTGAAGTGTGTAAGTCTTTTGGGGATCCATCAAAGCCTAAAGCCTGGAGCAAACATTCAAGTAAGCCCCAACTGGTAAAGGAAGCCTCTAAAAAACCCACAACGAATTCAGACCATGCAGAAAAGAAACAGGTAAGAAAAAGAGTTTATTTTCCCCACAATCTGCATTGCATGTCAAATTGCCTTTAAGTAGAGACTTTCAGCTATTGTACTTTCTTGTCTCTGCCTCAATCTACTGACTTTTAAATTCATTTTAACCTTTCCTTTTACATGGAGCATGTAATGTTTTAAAACTTTTTCCCTTTTGTTTCCTAGGATGGAACAAAGAAGAAAAAGAAAGCAGGACAGTTGAAAGAGGTAGATCTAAATCATTTGTAAGGAAGGTAGAGATGTACAATTCCCCCTTCCCACTTTGTCGGGCTCAATTGTGGCAGCATGGCAGCATGGGAGCATCGAACCTCAACATGGCTTCCAGAACTGACAGTATGACTTCTTTTAATCACAATCCTTTTTATCTTTGTCCAGCTGGAAGGAGAAGCAGCGTTTCAAGACTTCTTGGCCGCCCACCAGAAACGGTCCCAGGTTGCAACTTGGTCCAATGACACGAAGGTTGAGGAACGTGCTGAGGTGGTTGAAGATTATCTGAACTTTGATTCTGACGAGGATTCAAGCGAGGAGACGGATGCGGAGGTTGCTCGAAGTAATGGAGCCATTCTGTTTTGGTGATGCTTTATCGATAAATTCCAGAGCATTGTCCCCCAAAGGTCCTTTTCCAAGGGCTTTCGTGGTGTTTTTCCTTTGAAAACGTTTTGCTTCTCACCCAAGAAGCTTCTTCAGTCCTAACTCTTCTTCGGCTAGAACTGAAGAAGCTTCTTGCAGGAGAAGCGAAATGTTTTCAAGGGAAAAAACAACAACAAGCAAGTGCAGTTGCGTTTTTGGAAAAGCAACCAGGACAACCAATGACCTGGATGGTTGAGAATATCCTTAGACATACTTCCAGAGCATTGGTGGTCTTTTCAAAGTTTGGGGACTGTTGCACATCTTTCTTGTGGTCAAATGGAGCTTTCTTGCACAGACACAGAAGGTGGAACAAGGAGGGGGATGGCTGAGTGGAGGAAATCTTTCTGGCTAGTGGCTTCTCATTGTTGCTTTCAAAGCAGAGAAAATGTGCTGATTCTATTTGCAATATTTATATTGACTGTTTCCTAGTATGATTTGATTTCTTATTGTACCCTATGACTATCATTAAGTGTTGTACCTGATGATTCTTGATGAAAAGGTATCTTTTCTTTTATGTACACTGAGAGCATTTGCACCAAGACAAATTCCTTGTGTGTCCAATCACACTTGGCCAATAAAGAATTATATTCTAATTCTAACTCTAGCTCTCACTCTACTCTATAGAGGGCTGGAAAGCCCCGTGGAGCAATATATAAATCTATATTTCACGTCCCTTCTCCCTCTCCGCCTTAAAGTTGCATCCACGTCAGTTTGTGACCCGCTAAGTCTCCCAAACAGTTGGTAGCTGATCTGTTCTTCTCCCTCCCCAGAGAAAGGAGAAAGCTCTCCAAGCAAGGCAGCAACCCAGCAACAGCTCTCCGACATGGATTATTTGCGATCCAAAGTGGTGAAGGGGGACGAATCCTCACCTTCATCGGCAGAGGAGAGCGAGGCCGAGGAGATGGACAGTGAGGCGTCTGATGGAGGAGAGGAAGAAGAGGTGGAAGAGAAGACCAGCCTCAAGCCAAGGGCTGTTTCTAACACCAAGACCAAGCTGACCGGAAAGATCAGTGTCCAGAATCTCACTGAGGATACTAAGGGTACCAAAATGACATCACAGGTACGTCCTGATGGAGGAAACAGTCTTATTTATTTTTATTTATTTATTTGATTTGTCAAACGCTTACAACATAATAGAAATAACAATAAATATAAGTATAAATACATGAAATAGATAGCCTGCAATACTATTTTCTTACTACTACATAGGGAGGGAGGGAGGGAGGGAGGGAGGGAGGGAGGGAGGGAAGGAAGGAAGGAAGGAAGGAAGGAAGGAAGGAAGGAAGGAAGGA